ATGCAAGCACTCTAAGCTACTGTTCAACTATGGTCAAACTAGCATCATGAAAATGGCATTACAAAGTAAACCAACATTTAGAAGCAAAATTGGCTTAAGTCATGAATATAAACATTGTTCCAAATATCATTCTAGATATGTATAAGGTATTTTGGTGACCTCACAACCATCTCATGCATTGGTCATATATGATCACTAGCATAATTAAGTATATGAGCAACATCACATGTGATAAAGAGAAGGTAAATGAAATGAAACTTCATATGCTCATGCTCATGAATGCTTGGATGATGCTTGTTCTCATGAAATGCAAATGCCAAATGCAATGCTTAACACGGGGGTGCTACAGCCTGGCCCGGCCCGGCCCGAACATGTGTTAACCAGATAGGCTAGCCACATGACGCGCTTCGGCTGCTACTGGGCCTGGCTCACGGGCGTGGCTCACGGTGGACGGGTGCTTGTGGGTCCGTAGACCGTAGGCTAGGTCTGTGGTAGACTAAGTCCACTACTCCCTTTTCTCTCCTTGCCTCACGACGGATCCAGGCGGGGCGTGACGGCTCCCTCTTCTCTTCGACCGTGCTCTTGCCAGCGGAAAGCTCATGCAGCTGCGCGCTATGGTGACTCAGTGATGCTGCTAAGGGGATCTATGGCATTGTGGGCACAAGGAGAACTCACCGAGGGGCTAAAGGTAGCATCTTGGACCTCCGTGTGGCTGGCATTGGCCTCACGGCAGACTACGTCGGTGCGGGGATGACGACGAGGCTCCTCGGGGCATCGGTGAAGCTCCAACAGGCTCCATTCGCTTCCTCGTGCTCCGGCGAGTGCAACTAAGGCGCTAGGCGTGGCTCTAGGGGCTTAGGTAGGGCTAGCCATGGCGACAGCGGCTCGACAACGATGATAGGCCATAGCAAGGCAGTTGCGCGCTAAATGGAAGCCAAAGTTGGCTCTTTTCCTTTGATTGGAACCATGGGCGGGCCATAAGACTCAACAACGGCTACCAAAAGGGCATGACAGAGTCCATGGCGAGATGGCGAACGTGGCGGGGCTCCGGTGGCTCGCTGCTCTAGTGAGCGTGGGTCTAGGAGGGGTTCTAGGGCAAACCAACTACATGGCTGGGCCCATGGCATGACGGCAGTCATCATCGGCCCCTCCTTGTCTCGAGAGGTGGCTAGGATCGATGGGAACACCCATGGCATGGCGGCGCTCTAGCGTGCGGCTGTGCCAGTGAGGTGAACGCCTGCGGCGACTCGGAGGCTTCCTACGGCAAAAGGCAGTGGCTTGACGTATCACACAACAAAGTGAACCAACCGTGGGGGTTTGGGAACCTCTACCAGTTCGAGGTGGCTAGAATGAGTCATCGCCATGGTGGGCTCCGGGCATGGCGACCATGCGGGTGCACGCCAAAGATGCCAACATTCCCGAGTGCTAGTGGCTCAGCAAGGCCGGACCTTGGGCGTGTTCGTGCATCGGTACATGCGGTGTGGTGTGGAGCCTAAAGGCTTGGCCTTGGGCTTCCCTAGGTAGGAAGAACACAGCAGCGTTCATGGCATGCTCATGATGGCAGACAAAGAGGGGGGTACTAGGGTGCTCACCGTGGTGGTGGTGAAGCTAGGATGGTGGTGCAGTAGCGGGTCGAGGTTGTGGATAGTTGAGGCAGTGCCATGCCGAACCACAACGATGATGAAGATGATCAGGGCATCGTCCTCATCTCCGACGACCAGGGGCTACTCCAGTGAGGCTTGGGGGTGGGGGTAGGGGGTGACAAGCAGGGCCTGCGGGTCCTGTTATCAGCGAGTGTGTGAGAGAGGAAGAGCGGGGGTGAGCATGAACTGGGTCGCGGCCTCGAGCTTGGCCAGCTGGGCGTCGTGGGTGCACGCGGGAGCGGGTGCGGGTGCGGGTACGGGGCTGGCCTAGGCCAGTGGTTGCTGGGTTGTCTGTCTGGGCTGCTTGGCCGGCTCGTGCTTCTTTCACTTTTCCATTTCTTCACTCTATTTCTTCATCCTTTTTCTATCTCTTATTTTCTCCTTTGAACACTTATACTTGTATACATGTATACAAATAGAAATACACCACCTTGGGTGGGTCCACTGGGTCCTCCTAGGGTTCAAGCTTGGCTAGGGTCTTGATGCACCACACACATAGCTCAATTAAATTAGGGTTGGTCACATTTATTAGCAAATCATAAGACCCAAAAAAGAAGCAACTCACATGGTTATTTAAAATGCATATGCTCAAACTTGCTAACTTGGGATCTACTTGTGCAACTATTGGGGTTTTCCTAGTACGTACACTCACCATGCATGGGTTTTGTTGGAAAAAAAATTTAAGTTGGGATTTTTGGTTATCTAAAAACCTGGGTTGTTACATGATGTCTACAATAAAAATGAGAAAACCAGTCGTTGATTTTCTAACATGTATCATTTTCCTATAAACATATTTATCATTTATTTTTAAATAACAAAAATTCTAAAATAAGAATGCGCACGATGTGGCCTTAAGGCCCGCACACGATCGGGGCATCGTCCTCATCTTCGGCGGCCACGGGCTACTTCGGTGAGGCTCAGTCCTCTTCCTTCTCCCTTCTCCTTCCTTCTCCTTCTCTCCTTGGTCATGTGTTGGTGGTCTAGGGTGCCACCAGTGGTGGCGGGGGTGTGGAACGGGTGCTAGGGCACCGGAGGGGTGTTTTTATAGCGGGGTAGTGGCCATGGTGCTCGACGGATGATGGTGGGAGCTCATGGGACACGTGTAGGGTGATCAAACTCCCCGGGCTAGGGTTCTACGGCGCGGGGGTGAGCGTAGGTGGCTTGGTGCCTCCAATTTCAGAGCGGCGGCCAGTCAAGGGGAGGTACGGCGGTGGTAGGGGCATGATAGGGGTGCAGGCCCAGCGTGCATCATCCACCAGGCACGGGCGCTAGCTAGGGCAGGTGCTCACGCCACGGATCATGGATGTGGCGTGCATCCAGGTGTGTATGTGCAGCGGTAGGGGCGCGAACGGCTGGCAAGCATGGCAGCCTGGCACCAGTGCTCTGCTTCACCAAAAAGCAGAGGAGGGCACGAGGGTAGGGGATGATAAGTAGGGCATGCGGGTCCTGTTGTCAGTGAGTGTGTGAGAGAGGAAGAGCGGGGGTGAGCGCGAGCTGGGCCACGGCCTCGAGCTTGGCCGGCTGGGCGTCATGGGCGTGCGCGGGAGCGGGTGCGGGTGTGGGTATGGGGCTGGCCTAGGCCAGTGGTTGCTGGGCTGTCCGTATGGGCTACTTGGGCGACTCATGCTTCTTTCACTTTTCTATTTCTTCACTCTATTTCTTCATCCTTTTTTGTCTCTTATTTTCTTCTTTGAACACTTATACTTGTATACATGTATACAAATAGAAATACACCACCTTAGGTGGGTCCACTGGGTCCTCCTAGGGTTCAAGCTTGGCTAGGGTCTTGATGCACCACACATATAGCTCAATTAAATTAGGGTTGGTCACATTTATTAGGAAATCATAAGACCCAAAAAAGAAGCAACTCAGATGGTTATTTAAAATGCATATGCTCAAACTTGCTAACTTGGGATCTACTTGTGCAACTATTGGGGTTTTCCTAGTACGTACACTCACCATGTGTGGGTTTTATTGGAAAAAAATTTAAGTTGGGATTTTTGGTTATCTGAGAACCTGGGTTGTTACACGATGTCTACAATAAAATGAGAAAACCAGTCGTTGATTTTCTAACATGTATCATTTTCCTATAAACATATTTATCATTTATTTTTAAATAACAAAAATTCTAAAATAAGAATGCGCACGATCTGGCCTTAAGGCCCACACACCCCCATGTCCTGCTCGCACTCATCCCTACTCGACTATACTCTCTCTCTCTCTCTCTCTCTCTCTCTCTCTCTCTCTCTCTCTCCGGTGACCGGCGGCCTTTCTTCTCCCCGGCGCCCCCCCCTTGCCCCACTACCTCCACCCCCCGCGTGGCCATGGTGGATCTGCCCACGGCGACAGCGAATCTGCCGGATCCGACGATGGATCCGCCACTAGGTAGGCCCCTCCTCCTCCTTCTCCTCCTCCTCCTCCTGCTAGATCTAGTTTTTAGGGTTCTGGCGAGCTCTCTCTCCCTTCTTCTCCAACTTCGGCGGGGTATAGAATGGCCGGTCGGGGGAAGGTAGGTAGGGCAGGCGGTGGGAATGGTGGAGGGGCGGCTAGGGGAGCTGGCGGCGGTAGGGGCGGTCAGGTCAGGTCGGGGTGGGGGAGGCTCGCCGGAGCTGGAGAAGATGGCGGCAGGTGAGCTCGCTAGAGCTAGAGAAGATGGCGGCGGTGGGGGAGGGGAAGAGGGCGGCTGCTGCGGGCGCTAGGGTTTGCCGTAGCTCCGGCGAACCCTAGCGCCCGCGGCGAGGCGATGGCCAGCGGCGGGGGCGAGGGTGCCGGAGTCAGGGATGAAAAGATCTGCTCTGCTTTTTTCCTTTTTTTGCAATCAAAATAATTTGTTTCTTAAATTGGAGTGTGTAGTCGAAAAGTTGAAATTCTTGCACGCACACGCTCTAGTAATGTCCACTTTAAATAATGTCATAAGGAGCAACTACATTACGTGTTTACTAGGTATGAGTATGTTTTATTGTAACCATAAACATGTGTGTGGCATGTCTATTGGTTCATAATACTTTGAAAATAATCTTCTACTATTTTTTTAGAACAAATCCTCTACTAAACCTTAGAAGCAAGGCAACAATGGCATCAAAATAGGAGTAGATCTTCGACACTCTTTTTATCCAAATCAAAGCAAATCAAATGTATCTACCCAAAACTCAACGGACTATTAACGGGATCCGTCCGATGGGGGTGAACATAGGGTTCAGATCAGCCGTGAGCCCGTGACCGTTCTCTTCTCTTGCCATTGAAAGCTCCGCTCCATTTCGAATTCGAAAAAGCCACCAAGCTTTTCCTTTTAATAACTCCGCCGCCGCCTCCGCTTCGGTCTCTTCCCGGGTTCTCCCCATTCCCCGAGCCCCGACCATGCCCTCCCCCTCCCGCCCCCCGCCGACGCCTCCGGGCGCCTCGGAGTGGCGCTGCGTCAGGTGCACGCTCCTCAACCCTGACGACTCCGACTCCTGCGAGGTGTGCGAGGCCTCGCGCCCAGTGGAGGTCGACATCGACAGCCCCGTCGTCGCGGGCGCCGCCCTCGCGTTGGCCTCGCCCAAGCAGGGCCGGAGGAAGAAGGAGCGCAGTGCGTCTCCCCCATCCCAGCGGTTTGGGAGGAAGAGGGAGCGGGATGCGTCGCCGGATGTAGTCGAACTCTGCGATAGTGCGGACAAGGGGCCCGCCGCCAAGAAAGGTTCGCTCGCGGCCCTCTCAACTGCACTGGCGTGTAGATAGATTGGGATGTTTCTGTTTGCGTTGGTTAATGGGGTCGCTTTTCCTATCCCGTTATCTGTAGATCCGTTCTTGTTCTTCTTGCGCTTTCAGGGCGTCCAGGATTTATGCATTTCCTTTCCTCCGTTAGGGCCGTGCCATGATCCTATTGTCGAATAATGCGCTGCGCTATGTTATGTTACTTATATCTCCCTTTTATTTATGTATATATTTTTTAGAGAAAAAAATGTATTTTTAGTCCCATTGTTTCAGTTTGGGGTCAAATTTACAAGGTCTGTGCTACTTCTGATTCCCCTCAAATTGCTTTTAAAGTGTGACTTGTAAAAATATCTGAATGTAATGCAAATGTACCCTATTTTACATGCTAACAACAATGAACAATGTATTGGTGGTAGAAACACCGTTGTTCTTTGATTACAACTTGTGCTTATGGACTACTACTAGTTCTATTCACTGAAATCCGATCTTTTTTATTTGATTTGATATTTGTTTTATTCAAGCTTGCTCGTGTCAAGCGAAATTGCAAACCACTAAAGGAAGATTGGAACATCAGTAAATCTTTTTTATTTGACATTCTATGAGCTGAAAAGTTTCATTTTTTACTTAACTTGATCACAATAGGTGTTGTGGGAGAAAATAATAGCTGGAGACATAGCTTTACTTAAGGTGTGTGGCTGATTTTTAATTACTTCTAATATTCGGGAGCAAGTCAAAACATCAAATATAAAGGAAGGAGTGTTTATCATGTAACCGATGACTATTACTCACTTTGATGGACAAACACTGCAGAACAGAGGGAGTATTTAACTCGAAGCTAAAATTACTTGTAGAAGGGTTATCCAATCGAATCATTTAACTATTCCTTATTTTTTCTGTTCTATGTGTACATCATAAACTTCAAAACTAGCTAGTTGTGATGCATGTTCAAAGTTCAATCCATTTTTGAAGCTGTTACTTCTTTAATGCATTTTAGTTTGCTAGGGACACATGAAAATCAAAATGTCTGTCCACAGGAAATCTTGAGATTTCTTTGGATAAGAAGACCTTCAAAATCATGACATACAATGTCTGGTTCCGAGAGGATGTGGAAGTGATAAGAAGGATGGATGCTCTTGGGGATCTTATAAAGCAGCATAGCCCAGACTTTATATGCTTCCAGGTTCACACTCTGAGCTATGAGTTATTTTCTTTTCCCATCCTTAGTGGGATCTAATATGTGGAACTGCAGGAGATTACACCATACATATATATGCTTCTGCAAAAATCTGACTGGTGGAAACAATACAACTGCTTGTTGTCACATGAGAAGGCTATTCAGATGCCGTATTACTGCATGGAGGTAATAATTTTTCTTGCAAATTTTACGTGTGATATGATTTCCAACTTCTGGATGAATGCCTTTCAGTCAATTTCTTGTAACAGAACTGTATGGAAAACTATTTATAACATTCCCACAGAAGTTGCTAAATATGTTCTTTGACTGTTCATGTCATCAGACACATTTTGGGTTTATATGATGCCTGCAGAATATGGATGAGTGAGTTACAATAGTTTCATATTCAATATGGTCAATCCAAGCTCTTTTGCATATTTGTAGTGAAGCATGTTTCATCCGTCTAAAAGAGTCTGACTGCATGTTTCATAACTTCACATATTCAGCAAATCATTACAAGTTACAATGGGCTATGTTTGATTCGGATTCATGTGGTATCTATAGTTGCCCGTCCATGGGAAATTGGGAGGTTGGCAATGTTTATCCTTTTATCGGAGGTCATTTATTTTTACTGATTTCTTTTGACCTCAACAATTGCAGTTGAGCAAACTGCCAGTGAAGGCATTTGACTGCATCCCATTTTCGAACTCAATAATGGGAAGAGAGCTGTGCTTCACAAGTGTTAGCACAGGAGAGATGAAATGGTTGATAATAGCCACGACCCACCTAGAGAGCCCATACCCTGCACCTCCTAAGTGGGATCAGATGTACAGCAAAGAACGTGTGGATCAGGCAAAGCAATGCCTGGAAAATCTGGGACGCTTCCCCAATGCCATACTCTGTGGGGACATGAACTGGGACGACAAGGGAGACGGCCCCTTCCCTCTGCAGGATGGGTGGACTGATGCTTGGGTTGAGCTGAAGCCTGGAGAAGATGGCTGGACCTATGACACGAAGGCCAATGGCATGATGGCAGGCATCCGCAAGCTGCAGAAGCGAATGGACCGGTTTGTGTGCAAGCTGGCAGACTTCAAGATCGACAGCATTGAGATGATCGGGAAGGAGGCAATACCGGGTATCTCCTACTACAAGGAGAAGAAGATTCGGAAAGAGAGCCGAATGGTTCAGTTGCCTGTCTTTCCAAGCGACCACTTTGGGCTTGTTTTGACCATCACCCAGCAGGAGAATGACAGCTTCTGAACAACTGTTACAGTGATCCTGAAGCATTTACTTTCATGCTCTTTTGCGTAATATTAAGAAATAGAGAGCAGTTCCACACTTCCACTGCTCTCATTTTAGTGATCTCCCCACGATTTTGTAAATTTGGTGGAGGCATCAGTTTGCTAGGATGTGCAAATGGTGGTATTATTACCACTTTACCAGGTGGCTACTTGTTGATACCTGATACTTCGTTTCTCATCAATGTCTCATTGAGATGCTTTGGGTTGGCTAAAAGATATGCCCTCTCGATGGTCTTACTATTATAGCTGTACGGAAAGCCAGTAAAATCACCTTACATGTTAATTATTGCCATTAAAGAAATACAGATATTGCTTCCTGCTAAATTGTCAGCATCTTCAAATCCCATGTGGCTCACATCACATGCTCAGATTCCAGGGACAAACCATTCTTTACCGGTGCGTTTGGTTTGTGGCACCAACCAATCCGAGAATGATCCGAACCTGCCAAAATTCATGGGATGGACTCGTGCGGCCTTGACGTGTGCTGCATGGAACCAACCGGTAAACCAAACACGTCACATGTACTATATGTAACCCCCATACAAGCGGTTGTACATTCCACAACAATTTAATTCACATGACAAGATACTATCAAGACGACATCAACAAAAAAGACATCCAAGAGCTAGAAATGCACGAGTTCGTGGGTAATCTAGCATGGTCAGCTTCTATATTCGAATCCCCCATACAACTACGAGAAGATTCTAGCTGCTGTAGCTGCAGCAATGCTGCTTTTAAGAGCAGTCAATCAGACATGGTAAAAGCAATATATCTAAAAAGGTCAAATGTCTTATAATTTAATATGGAGAGAATGCAGGGACATAGCTATAGAAGTATGATGAAACCATGGATTTCTTCTCCAAAGTTTGTCGAACGCTAGAAATGATAAGCTTACTGTTATTTGATTTTTTATGGTCAAATAATATTAGGATTGTGTTGCTTAACTTATGCAATAGTTAGCCTGATTCTCTTGGTTACAATATATAAAAGCCATATTGATTCTTTCATTTAAAAAAAATACTGTGAAATAGATTCACATTTTTAAATAGTGGCATTGACAGGATTTAAAATTTTAGATGGCAAATGAGAGATGTGGGATTGACAGGATTTAAATTTTTAGGTGACAGATGTGACATATAGAAAAAAAAATTCTATTACTTTTATTCATGAACACTAGAACTTAAATTATTAATCTTATCTAAATTAATGTATGCTTTATATTTCTTTTGTAAAATCTAAAATGTATTAAAGAGCTCTTAACACAATACTATATTATATAATACCGAAATATTTATTAATATTTCTGATGAATAAAAGTGAAGTTCTCGCAATCATAGATCTTGTTGTGCACCAGGGATATGTGTTTTTTATATACTACTAGAAGAATGCTCCGCATGTTGATGCGGGAATCGCAGGTGGACTTATACTACTTATATTTACTTATATCAACAGATAAATATTACAATACATATTAGTGGACATTTTTGGTTCTTTGATGTGGACAACTAAATATATGTTAGTAAATAATGTGGTTTGTTGATGTGAATAGTTTGAGTGAAGACCTAATTGTTAGAATCTTTGTGGGCTTGGGGCCCAAATAAGAAATCCTAAAATTCCTAGAGAAATCTCAAAGGCCCATGTGAGCAAGAGAGGGGAAGTGAGAACCCTTAGTCCCACCTTGCTTGGTGAAGTGGAGGTAAGCATGCTTAAATATGGAAGTCATCTCCACCTTCTCGAGTCTAGTGTGAGGAGAAGAAAGGATGCCCACACGTGCATGCTCGCTCACCGCGCGGGGCGAACGGCACATGACACCTGTGGCCTTTTGCGGCAGCATGGCGAAAGCCCTAGTTTGTTTTTGGTTAATTGAGACAACCAAGGTGGACTAACCTTCTCCTCTAAATGTGATTATGAGATAAGTTGGTTCACACACATGGGGCAATCAAAGTGATGGAGATGGCCAAATTGACGATCAAGTGCTCCATATTTGAAAAAGAAGAAAGAAAAAAAACAAAAAGAACTTATGGGCTCTAGATGTACAAATATGTTTTGCCGGTCAATACGCAATAGAGTGCGTGATCGGATTTTGGATAGATGGCCATACTATTAAGAGGTGAGCTCTAGTTGGGCAATTCGGTCATTAGTGCCATTAGGTGTTGGAATACTTTGCATATGCATATAGGCCTAGTGCACAACGGAGAGCAAGTGCAAATGTTTATGAAAAACTCTTTGGAAAAGGCTAGCTTGACTCTAACATATTTGTGAAAAAAAATTGAGAGTTGGCTAATCGAAAGGAGGTGCTTGGGTGCTCTCGGTGCTACTATTCAGCATGCATCGGTCGTGTCCGGTGGCACACCGATCGTGTGCACTGGTCACAATGGCTGCGCCTTTCACTTTGCATAAGTTTCAGCCGAGCACCATGCACACCGGTGTACACCGGTTAAAGTGCACCAATGTGGGCATCCAGAGAGGGTGCAAGCTGCTCTCCCGCATGTAATGAGCACCAGTCACCACCGGTGCTGGCACTGGTGAATGCACCGGTCACTTGTTCTAGAGAGCATGTAATCGGGGCGCAAATGTGCTAACACGCACTAGTTGTCACTGGTGGTTCAACCGGTGGTCGCACTGGTCATCTAATAGCGTCCAACGGCTAGTTTTCTAAACATTTCAATATAGCCGTTAGTGAGCACCGGTGGTGTCCGGTGCTATGACTGGTGCCCCTGATCAGGCAATCGGTGCTCTTGAAGTGGGCCCAAAAAGAGGTAACGGCTCACTCACTTGCTTGAGGCTATAAATAGACTACTTGGCCGACCATTGCCACCCTCTTAGATCCCCATTTCAGCTGAGCAAACCTTGTGAGCACAAAGGAACACACTCCCACTCACTTGCATTCTTGATTTCATCATTTAGGTGAGATTGGAAAGCCTCTAGTGCATTGCTCAGTGATCTTGCATCTTGTGGCACTAGTAGGATGAGTTGGGCTGATCAAGTTCTTGTTACTCTTGGTGGTTGCCACCACCTAGATGGCCCGGAGCAGCAGTGGATCATTTAGCGGCTATAGGTGATTGTTGTCGGCTCTGATCAAGTGATTGTGAGGGGTTCTTGACCATAGTCCCCCGTGGGAGATTCGTAAAATGGTACTCCAGTGGATCATGGCTTGTGGAGCCTCTCTTGTGTGGTTCTTACGGCTGAAAGGATCAAGATGCCCAAGAGGGGGTGAATTGGGCTAATTCTAAATTCTTTGCAATAATTAAGTCCTACACTTAGCCCACTTCACCCCTTGTGCCTAGAATGTGATTCTATTGTTCTACCGCACAAAAGTTTTGCACTCTAAGTTCCAATCCTACTCTAGCATGGCAATTCTAGGAATGTAAAGACATGAAATGAATTGCTCAAATGTAAATGCTTAAAGTAAAGAGAGGGAAGGATCAAGTGCTCAAAGGATGTTTTGCTGAGGTATCGGAGAGTCACCACTCCCCACTAGTCCTCGTTGGAGCACCCGCGCAAGGGTGTAGCTCCTCCTTGATCCGCGCAAGGATCAAGTGCTCTCTATGGGCTGATTCTTCAACACTCCGTCACGGTGAATCACCCATGACCGCTCACAACTTGAGTTGGGTCATCCACAAGCTCCGCCGGATGATCACTAAACTCCCAATCACCACCAAGCCATCTAGGTGATGGCGATCACCAAGAGTAACAAGCAAAAACTCTCACTTGACCACGACAAGCCTAATGAGAAGGGTGGATGCACACTTGCTACTCTCCTTGCACTAATGAGGCCTTAATCTTGGATTCTCAAATCTCAATCACCTCACTAGGCTCTTGCTCTCCTTTGCACTCTCAAGGGTGTTTCTCAGCTGAACAAATGGCCAAGAGGCCTCCCATGGATGAGTGGAGGAAGTATTTATACCCCCTCATTAAAAAACCATTGGGAGGCTGAGTTAGCACTCTGTGGGGTGACCGGATGCTCTGGTCAGGGTGACCGGACGCTCCGGTCAGTTATCCCCGCCACTATGTCAGAAAGAGTCGTTAAGTTCTGACCGAACTCTGACCTGCGTCTGACCAGCACTGACCGATCATGAAAAATGCTCTCTGGAACCTTACTGATGTTGACTGGACGCTGGAACCCAGAGTCCGGTCACTTCGTTGTTCAGCGTTCGGTCAGTTACCGGATCCTGACCAGCGTCCGGTCAGCACTGACCGGACGCGTTCGATCAGGAAACTCCCTCTCTAGAACCTCTCTAGAGTTGATCGGACTTTGGCACCCAGCGTCCGGTCACTTTTCACTCAGCGTCTGGTCGCAACCAGACGGCTTTAGTTTGATCAAATGAACTGACCGGACTCACCCTCCAGCATCCGGTCACAACCAGACCAACGTCTGGTCAGTCATTTGACCCTCCATTCACTTCTAACTCGAAATCCTATGTGAATGAAGTTTGCTCCAATTGATCTTAGGGCCATTCCTGAGCTACCTAGTGCTAGTTTTGACAAGTGTGCACCACATCTAAACCACTAGACTCACCTAGGTCAAGCTACTAGTCCATAGCCCCCTTAATAGTACGGCCAAAGGAAAAACAAAGTCCTAAACTACTCTAAGTGTCTCTCCAACATCAAACGACACTTAGAACTAGTTCGTCCTTAACCTTGTCATCCATCCTTTGAAAACCGAAACAATTTCTATCGTCAGGGCATGACCACCATGATTGCCCAATCAATTGCCATTACCATGACCTAACTTAAATTGCCTCTACAAAACACACGTTAGTCATAGTAATCTCGTGTTGTCATTAATCACCAAAACCCAACTAGGGGCCTAGATGCTTTCAATCTCCCCCTTTTTGGTGATTGATGACAACACAACCTCAAGTATGTAGAAGAGATAAGTGAGGTTTTCAACATGCTTGGTTCATATAAGCTTTTGACAATAAGATTAAAATGATTAGACATGCTTATATGACCCAA